TGGGTCGGTGTGCACCGACCTATGCTCGTAATTGTCTTATCTGTCGAAAACTCGTTAACCTCTACAAACACTCTGTCGGTTGTCAGCTTCACTCCAAACTATGACATTTATAATGACGAACAGAGAATTTCTTCCATTTTCATGTGAAAGAAGAAGCCTGCAGTAGGTTTCATCACTTCAGTGTTGGTTTCCTTGAAGTTATGTAAGATAATTACTGCATCAAACGAAAAGAATTTAGTACCATTTTATGCACAGGCATGTGTCAGTTGTGTAATATAATTTCCTCGTAAAATGATAAAAACTTGCCGATTAACTTAAGCATATCGATAGATAATTAATTCCCTGTCAAGTAATTTTCTTACAACCTAGTACCTGATTATTTAACCTCCCGTAGTTCATTTCGGTTCCATTTGAGCATTGCGAATGCATGTTTACCAATTTATTCGCGTATTACAAAAGGCCTGCCACGATATTTTATGACCTCTTAAGTTTTCACTGAGTAGTTTTTGTTTGTTTCACATAGCACCTAGGTAACGTGGGTAAGCATTGAACTTAAGTAATTATGGGTTATTGTTAACGTTTCTATTGGCTGCTGTTTTAAGAGGGTGCAGTGAATAGACGTTCACCTCGAGCAATTCACTGTTCTTGTTTTTATGCGTTCTTGTGTTTTTATGTTATGAATATCCTTACTCCAAATATTATACATGGTTCCATGGAACGCCTTGACGTAACTGTACAGTATTCAGCTGTTGCGAGATGGGGTCTCGCACGCCTACTTTTAAAAGATGAAATGAATTAAAATAACATTGAATAACACAATACACACAAAACAGTGAGTGCGCGTTCGTATTGCTCAAATCGAATGGGGGATTAAATAACCGGGTGCTATGCTGTAAGGGGACCACCTGGTAGGGAGCTAAATGTCCATCATCCACCCCGCCGTTAGTAGCACAATTAATTCGGAACGGTGAAGGAATTGAGCGATTCGTTAGGTTTCAAACATGGGCCATGATAATAGTACAGAGCGTCGAAAGCACACAGAAATTACTAAATATAGCTTTATCTGCTCGTTTCAGCATCAGCATTTGGTCATCGCCTAATCTGTGAAACGTTTCGGCTGCCCTCCAGGTGGAGAGCGGGCTGGTTTGGTCCGGGTGATTGTTTTGGCGTGAAGCGGTTCTGTAGTTACACATCACCATCATCTTACACATCACGTTTTCTACGTCACATCGCATTCGTTGATTTTTGTCTGTTTTGCAGTATTTTATATAGTAATGACGACATTTTTTTAATGTGTCATCATCATTATAAATTACCTCTGTGTGACTTTTTTGGTTCCTCGTTGATTTCGTTATTCTCATAGATCGAATTGTTGATCAGAATTATGCGTTCAAATAAGATCACGTCTATAAGTACGTTTACATCACGGATAAAATGTCATCTACATTTAATTCTATCATTAATTGTAGTTGTTAAATATACTTGTTTGTTAAATATCATGTATCGAATTGTAACTGTTAAATATTGATTTGACTTATCATAAATATCTCTGTTAATTCTTAAACAAATGTCGTTGTTAAAATGGCATTTGATTGCACTATAATTGTTGATTGTTGAATAATTGTTAAAATACGTGAATTGTTTTCTAAAATATCATTATCCGTTAAAATAAGATCACGATCATGACATTCGTTAATGAGGTGTTTACTTTTATAAATGTCTTAAAGCAACGCGTTTGAAATTCAACGTTATATGCTTATCTGTTCGTTTCACCTATATTTAACTGTACAAATTTATTTGTTGTTTATAGCAGAGTTTGGCTCATTCGTGGCAGTAAATACAGCTGAAGTAATCATTCGTATATATAGTGTCGGTGGATTCTGTTGTCAATGTCTTCATACTCGTCTCCATTGCCACCTTACGTGACGCCTGGTTGGAACGACCCACCAACGGATTTAAACTCGGAAAGGAAGAAACCAAGTTTTGGAGCGCATAGGCATCGAAGACCCGTCGACCCTTCCATACAGGTTAAGTTGATTTCGAATTTTAGTTTGATGAAAGTGTTCCGCAGTGTTTCTTAATTTACATCATCGAAGTTTCGAGCGTTGACTGAATATGGTATAAGACCATCGAATGATCTGTTGCGATAAATAAGGTCTGAAAGAAGCATCACTTCAGTGATATTTTTGAAAAAAAGTCTGAGATTGATCTGTGGTTCGGTTGAATACTTTGAGATTATCAAATCTTTTTTGAACTGTTGCTTAACATACGCATAAGTTAAAGTGAAGTATTTCAGGGAAGTGCTGCGACAGAAACTCCTCCTCCAGTGCAGCAACCGTGTCAATCTTTTGTTAGTTTCCCTTTCCTTTATATTCATGCTTTGCCACTGATCCAGCTATTAAATTATTCGGGGTTGTTTCCAAGGAATATTTCAGTGATATTTTTCCTGGTTTATTATTAGATTATGTAAGATTACGAATCCTTTGCTGCGTAATATTTAAAATAATAACACTAAAAATTTAATAACAATCATATTAATATTTTCAGCAGTGTACTAAAGGAAACGAGCCACCGAACTCTGCTCAATTTAGTACTGACTATTTTAATTCGCAAATTCCGATGAGCAACAAACCCCCAAGACCAGTCTATGATAACTCCACGTCTAACCCCCAGCACCTTATCAATCCTCAGCATCGTGCCGTTTATGATGCATTCACGATACCTTCAGGTAATTGATAGTAATGATAACATATATTTTACAGATAGTATCACCGAAACAGTGTTTGACAACATATGAGTAAGCATGATACGTCAAACACCATCAATGATAATTGTGTTATGATTAGTTAAATCTGATTTCATGATGAGATTGCCATGACGTCTAATCACGAAACGTCTAATGTCAGGAAACTGACATGACGTAGACTTTGTTCTATACAAAGTTCTTCCCAATTTTATCTTGTTCAACGATAAATTTATTCAACTCATTTTGTTGTTGATCTTTTACGATTACAAAAATAAAATTACAAAAAACTTATTTTCAGTTGAAGGCTTAATACGCGTTGATATACGCGTTTTCTTTTAGTATCTTTAAAGTAAACATGTGCACTCATTGTTAGATAAGACATGTTCAGCCCTGATGGTGAATAAATTGAAGGTTTTAAATGACGTTGGTTTAATGGAATTAGGTCGCTTCCTGTGATAAGTTGTCAGCGTAATCGAATTTCAGCGAGATATCAAGAATCGTTCGATTTTGCACGCATTAATCCCACAAGAGACAACAACGGTCAGTCATCTGTTACGCACCCAGCAATACCATTTCAACAAAATTTCACCAATGAAAATCACGCTGAATCAGTAAGTACCTTCTTTCATTTACTCAGTTGCAAATAAACGGAATCAGAAAATTGTATCATCAAGGTTCCAAATGAAAATAAATTTCAACAGGAATTCGATAAGTCTATTAGGTCAAATTTATTGTATTAATAAATTAAATTTAATGTAGTTACAAGATCAGTTCATTCTTTTGTTTACATTTGATTATGTTTATAAATAAACATGTCGAAATATGGTTTATACCGATGAATCGTTGAACTGAATTGCGCAATGAGAGTTTCAGTGAACCATTAATGCTCATTGAGTGACGACGTCGTCGTCACATTACCATCGATTTAAAAGAATTTTGTCTCGGATTCAAATCCACTTTGCGGTTCACTGTGAATTGAATTGTTGTAATTTTAGTTTAGCTTTTCGTCTCTCTACAACTGCTCCAGATAACGTGATTAGTCAACAGAATTGTTGAGGAAAGCAATCGCAAAAGATCAGAGAATTTGTGTCGTAAGAGGAAAGAAAATTCTTCGAAAACATTCATTCATTACGATGATATTTTCACCTGTGCAATGATTCTTATTTCAGCTTCCAAATGCACCGAACCTTCCAACGACGAATTTCACTGCTCCCATGTCTGGTCCTCCAATTGAATCTATACCTAGTGCTCTCATTTATATCCCACCAAATGTGAGTGATTTGCTAGTGTCATTTTGGATTGAAGTATGTAAAGGATAGGTTGAAGATTGAAGAAGTATGTAAAGAAATAAGCGGGATAAGATGTGGTGTTGCTGAGTGAATCGATGACGATGCTTGAATGTGGTGTCTGTTTGTAATGACGCTCATCGCATTGACCCATTCATCTCGACTGCAGTGCTCTTTCTTGCCTTTTCGTGCTGAAAAAGTGTTGCCTGATGGAATTTAATGACTTTGCAATTTTTTGTTGTGCTTATAGGCAATAGGTGAAATGAAACAAAGATCGACCACTTCACCAGATCCGGCAAATTACATTGCTCCACTGAAAGCAGCCGGCGACGTTTCTCTTAATGGTTCACAACTGGTGCAGTTTATTACCAAAGCCACTCTAAGGCTACCTTTGGTTAGTCGTTAACTATGTTAACAGTTATGAACTTATTTTGGTAATTCTGTAAGCGATTTTGCTCGCATCTTCGACTTCATAATTCCAACCAGTAAGTTTCCGTGGTTTGTGTTAAATACGACGAGAAGACATGAAACTGATTCCACTTGTTTCGTTCATTTTTATACGATTAATTTTCATTGTTGTTTCCATTTTTTACTCGATAACTACCATGTTCATTTCCGGTAACTCCTCTTCCACAACATGCAAAATCCTTTATTTTGTCCAGCAGCGAAAGGAATAAAACATTCATGTTTTATTCCTTTCGGTGAAAACATTTATGTTCAGTGAAGTTCCAATCATTTTAGCGTTGTCGTTTTTCGATCATACTGCCCTGATGCAAACGACTAATTCGTCCTAGTCTAGCTGTTGCGTAAAAGAGAAATTTTGTGATATAGATAAATTTTTAAAGGGTGTAACGCGGGATGGCATTCAGTTGCGGATTGCACATTTCAATGATCTTGTCTTAGCAAATGCGATATCTGAAGGACTCATCAAAAAACTGAATTTCGTTGTTGATGGTAAGCCGTTGCTGATTCAGATCGTTCCATATTCATTCATTCGTTTAGATATTTTGTCTGAATCAAGCGCATATCTCATTGTGGCAACTTATAATTTCTTAAATACTCCTTGTGAGCTCTTATTCTGATTGTTTTAATAATGCGACCACATCTTGTCTTCAAATACCTATCAGTTTTGATTTCGTAATGAATTTGGTGTTGAATGAAACCGCTAAGTGTTGTTGCTATAATTTTTGAAAGGTGTAAAAGAATGATGCTGAGTGTATGTGTTTCAGCGTTAGATCGAGGAATGTACGACGATGCATTGCAGTTCTTCGAGCAAATGCAAGCTGTTTTTACGGAAGAAACGAAAACGAGCTGGGCTCAAGGATTAAGATTACTGATTTGTGAATTGAAGAGACCTGCAAGAAGTGGTAGTGCTGGGCTGATGCATAACCATTAGCGTATTCAGCTTTAACTCACCTTACATATCGAATTGAACGACTTCGGCATGCTCAAGTTGATATTTTTATTAAATTCTCATGATCTTATCATGATAAGTTATAACTTTCCAGTGATTATCTTATTCAGTTCTCAATATCGTGTTTTGTTTTAGTGATATACTCCATATCACCATTTGCACATCTAATCCTCGTACAATTCNTTTTTTTTGTTCTTTCACAGTGACTTCTTAAATGTTTTATAGAAAAGGAAGATATACCATTCCAATTCAATTTGGTCATTTATTTCCTCTCGTCGGTCATGTTGGTGTTGTATGCTTTCGTGAATTCAGTGGTGATGTATTGCTTTTTCTTATGACAGAATCATGCTTACATAGGGACAGCCTTCCCCTAAAATATTGCTTCACTGATCTTGCAATTGTTTCTTTCAAGTATACTGATAACTAATGAGATGGTATGTATAATTAAAGTTTACACAAAGTTAGCTTTCTATTCCTTCCCACATTTTTCAGAAAATTCTTAGTGATACAAATGATACATAATATTTCGTTTCTCGTTAATTCGTTTGTTCTTGGTGTTCCATGTTCCATTCAGGCATCATTAACGATACTTGCGTTGTCATATTTGCTTATCAAATCTGAAGTACATTGAAGCAGCACCTGCATGATTCTGTTCTATTATGTTTCAAATAATTCATCAGAATTCCATGTTCTGCCTCACTCATTTGCCAAAGTTGCTTTGCTTATGTCGAAATTTCCGCATTTCTAGCGATCCCAGTGGGATGAACACGATCGGAGTTATCCTTATAGAATTGTGAGTTTTGCAGTTCAAGTATATTTCATTAATAATCAATCAAAATTGTGTTTTGTTCTTCACATTCTTAGATTTCTTTCATATGTATTCGATCTATTACAAGATCCTTTCTTCTTTGAAACTTTTCATACGATTATTACTGAAGATGCTTAAGAATGTATTTCAGAAATTTCATCAACTGAAGTTGATAAAAATAATAGTTCATCGCACGGCTTACTCGTACAGGCTTTATCAATTTCGCCTTTCGCAGTATTCAGTTGACAGATTTCTGGAAGTACCATTTGTCATTAGTTTCATCTCGCATGACTTGAGTATATGCATTCTTGTTGACGAATTTCAATGAACTGATGGTTTTTATTCGCTGTTTTGTCATCGTTTTATATTGTCATATTATTTATATGTTCGGTTTTGTATGTATATATTATCACTATTATGAATTAACTTTATTTTGAAAAATGGTGGTAGTGCATCTAATTGAAGTTTTGTAGTACATCGTTTCAAATTGCTTTTGTATGCGACTGAATTCATATGCTAAGATTTTTCATTTTGGCGCATTTTAGAGAGCATGAAAATTTTCATTTTATTGTGAATGTATTGCAATATTTGTTCCTTTCTCGATTGATGGTCAGCCCACAGTTAGGATTTTGGATGAGCGAACCGAATTTATCCCATTAAAGTTTAGTTTAATTTTTTATTAGCCGAATCGAAGAACTTCAGTCGTACGTTTATATTTATATGAGCGTATTTGTTGTAATGTGGCAGTGATTTTCCATTTCATTCAGTGAATTTCATCGAATGAAAGAATCCTTTGAGAATCGTATTCCATTGATGAACATACCTGTTTACGGCCGATATCCATCATATGGATGCCTCTCGTCAACTATAACTTCACTGACACTCTTTTTACTTGGTTTCCTAAAATATTTCAGTGATGTTCGTATGTGTTCTTTTTTAATTCGTCTACACAGTTCAATCTTTCCAGTTCCGATTCATCTGATTTGTCCAACTGTGATATTTATCCAATTCCAATTACACATTTATTCTTAGCATGAAACTCAGCCTGCGGGTTGAAGTTTATTTTTAGCTTTCTCTTCTAAAATTTTTTACGAAAGAGTATTCGAAAATTAGTATGTCTGTATGTTTTCAGTATTTACCTGTTTAATCATATCTTGTACGCGAATGAATAAAGACTGATCCAAAAGTTGTATTTGTTGTTCGTTAAGTTATCTAGTGATGATTCTCATCGGTTTCACGTCCACTTCACTATCACTGCAATCAATTGAACACTTGATCGGGATGAGCGGGTTGAATCTCTGAATGCTGCTTCGGCTGTTTATCTAATTCTGAGTGGAAACTGATGCATTTATCATGACAGAAGTGGATGTCACATTTGACATTGATGATAGAGTGTTCCCGACAATCAGAATATCCGTGCGTGAATGATATTGATACCCCGTTCGGTTTCGAGCGAAACTTTTCCCCGAACTGTGATTCATGTACCAGTTCTCGATCGGGCTCGGAACCAAATGGTCCGTCAGTATCATTGATGTCAATGAGATTGAACCGAGCATTACTCCAAATATTTTATCTATCCATTTGAACATTCATGCAGTCAGTAACAGTATTAATGATAATAATGATAAAATTTCATCACAGATGCGCGTTACATCAGCGCTGTACGGAAATCTGAACAAAATCCACTGGAATCGTCGAGTTTGGGAGGTTGGCTATCGAGGACCACTTTTACCACAAAGAAAAGCGTAAATTCTTCGTTTCCTCTTCACTCTTGCTTGGCCATTAAGAATCTGACAGTCAATTTGAGTATCTTTATACTGAGTAAGAAGAATATATGAACATATTTTTATACTCTATTTCTTCGGTATTGTATAAAATCTGCGCTTATTTTGAATTTTAAATACAGTTACTTCCCTGATAGTAAGGTAGATATTTGGAATGAATTCGGTGAGTTGGTCTGCTGAAATTCTACTTGATCGGACGGTTGCATTCTCGTTTTGTTTCTCATTAAGCGATCCATTGTTGCTGAAATAACATCAATCGTTGAATATTTCAGCACCGGTCGGCCGGATTATCCGGTAACAGGAAATCGCATTCTTCTGCTACGTGAAAGATTCGAACGTGAATGGAACGTTATGAAATGTCTTGCAACGCCTTATCTTACGAAGGTGATCCAGTTACTTCAACCTTCGTTTATTTTTTATCGAACATCCATATTTATTGCCGTTTTTTGTTGCTCATATCCGAAATTTTCTTACTGCTATCGAGCGTCCAAATCGCTTTTTTGCATTATAAGCAGAACATTGCATCGAGGAAATTTCACTTATGATAATGCGATATTAATAGGAACAAGAAGAAGAATATGTGAAACTGCACGGTACTCCATCAGAACAGCATGATTCAGAAGCGTTACGATTGAAACAAGCTTCGATGCCGAGTAAACCGAAGAATATTGATTTGCATAGGTATGGCAGGCAACGTGCTGCGAATGTTGGCAACTTGTTGCACTCTCATCGAACTGTTGAAGATTCCTTATATGAACTCATCCGACGGAAACGTTGGGATTAAGTTTCATCCGTTCAACTCAGTCGTCAAATTATTACTGCAGCTTTAGTTGTAACTGCATGTTTCAAATTAAATATGGTCATGCAACAGTACAGTGAGTTGGTTGTTATCAAGAAAGCAGCTCAAGTTCTATTCCAATCAAGGATATGCCTGTTTGTGAAGTAAAGTCAATTGTTGTTCCTATATAACATTTCTAAATTGAGAATTGTGTGTCATTTTCAACTATAAAATCACTTTTTGGTGCTTTTTAAAATTTTTTAACATTTTCGATAAGGATGGTTCTCCTTGAACTTCGTGGAGGCTGAAACATGAGAAAGAAGTTGATTATTCTTTGCTCTGGAAAGATACGCCGTTTTGGTTTGAATTGTACATGTGTATTTTTCTAGTTACATTGAATGTGTTTGCGATGTTATTATTCATTTCACGAGTTTATTGAATTGTAAGTCATTGTATATTGATATCGTGTTCATATTCTTGTAGTTTTATGGAGAGATTATGATAGGTCTCTGATATCTCGTCACGCAATAAATACAACTCATTTCTTTCGACAGCTCTTATTTGCTCTTTTTTTCACTTCATTTTATAATAAATAATCATTCACATTTCTACTGGCAAATGAGTGACTATAACAGCTCAGCTGTACTTCGTTTTCATTGACCACACACAAGTTGTAGGCATAACTTATGCTTACTCGAAAATGCCATGAAACAAAATCAAGGAAAAACATGCATTCATAAAAGATACACCTGAAATTGTGAGCACAATGAATACTCGAACGGTTCCATCAGATCGTGTCGTTTCCTGATTAAGCTTACATAGAATATGCCTTCAAACGTTATTCATGTTATATTCTTAGACAAACATGAGAGCATTTCACCCAAATCGAATATGCATTCCTTCATTCATCACTTTCTTTCTTCAAACAACTTAAAATCAATTGCGCTTGGAAAGTGCTCGACATAGGTTAGACACACTGGCAAGCAGTTTTCTGTAGTGCATTCGTTGCTGACATTAAACGCGACAAAATACGTGTCAAACGCAGCTAATGCTTTCATATTCAACAAAACCACATTTCTTCAAGTCTGAAAACAAAACATATTCGAAAAATCACGAATATCATATTCAGAATATTCACATTCCACTTCCAAAAGAGAACCGATCAACAATAAATTCAGTAATAAACATTCCTAGAACGCATCGTCGGCATCGTTTCTTCATAATTTAACGCTCCCAGTTCGCTGATTCATACAAAATTTCGTTATCTTAATGAATACATGATTTCCACTGAAAGTTTGGTGGATTTGCTACAGGCGGGTAAAGTGGGCTTTACAAGGGAACGTGTGGTAACTCAGTTTCCTTAACTGCGAGCGTGGCTAGCTACCGTAATCATTTATCCCTGAGGGTACTAATAATACCGTTGGTTGCAATGACTGTGGGTGGAGCTAGATACCGTAGTCATCCAACCCTGGAGGTACTAATACCGTCGGTTGCATTAACTGTGGGCGTGA